TCAGGCTTGTATGTTATTTTTCAGTTAGGGACTTGCTAAGTTGCCCAGGTGGGGCTCAAACTTGCCATGCTCCTGCCTCAGCCCCCTAAGTAGCTGGGATTGGAAGTTTGTGCCTCTGCTCTAAGTTGTCCATTGCGGGTGTCCCATCCCAGCAGCACAGAGTAGGAGGACAAGTTCCAAGTAGGGGTCACATGTGTATAACCAGAGGCAGCAGGCGTGGACGCCTGTGCGGGTGCTGCCCACTGCTGCCTCCTGGCTCTGGACAGAGGTGCACAGGAGCCAACGTTGCCCCCCATGCACAACCACAGGTCTCCTCACCACAGCTCCCCACTGAGCAGTCACCATCCATCCACGGCTCAGTCACCAGGACCCGCACAGGGTCTGACTTAGCTGCAGCCCCTGCACCCAGACATCACAACTTCTACAATCTTTTCATCAACCCAACTTCTATACTCCAACATCTCAGATCCACCACCCACAGCCCAGGCGCCTCGGGCCTCAGACCTCCTACCCAAAGAACATCAAGGGGGCTGCAGAGATAGCTCAGTGGCATAAGCACCTGCCTGGCAAACACAAGGTCCTGAGTTCAATACCCAGTACCAAAAATAAAAGGAACTTACAGAGTGTGTGTGTTTCTAAACTGCCAAAGGACATCAAAGGAACAGACCCTCAATTCCAGCTTTCCTCCTGAACTCTAACAGCTTAAATGTCAAGTGTCCCCCAAGATCACATGTGGACCCCCAATGTGTCACAGCTTATCCACTACACACAGATGAGCTCCCAGCTGAAGGAACAATGAGGACCCAGCTGGAGGATGTGGGTCCCAGAGTCACACCTCTGAATGCTCTATCATGTCCCTTGTCCCTTCCTCTCTCTTTTCTTGCTCTTTCCCTCCTTCCCTGTTTCCTGGATGCCATGAGGCAAGCATTTTTCTCCGCCAATCCCTTCCACTATGAGGCTTCCGCCTGACCACAAGCCCAAAAGCCACGGAGCCATCAACCACAGACCAAAACCTCCAAATCTGTGATCCAGAGCAACCCCTGAATTCCTCTGCGCGGGTTCTCCTGCTGCCACAGAAAGCTGACCGCACCCTCGCCCCTGGCCGTGCACAGCGCCTGATCCACCAGGCCACACAAAGGATATGGGTTACACACCATCTTGATGCACCAGTTCCGGGGGCTGGTGGTTTGTCGCAGGCAGAAGAAGGCGACGGGTGCCAGGTCCGGATGTGGGACGTCAGGATCAGCTCCATCCAGGGGCTCCTCCAGGCCTGGAGGGGACGGAGGGGGGCTCCGGGGCCCCGGCTGTTCTGTGACTCCCGGCTCCAAGGCCGGCGCTGCCGCTGCGGATGAGGAGGGTGGTGAGGTGCTCTCAGCCATGTCAGCACCGCACAGGGAGCCCTGGGAAAGAGAGACGGAGGCACATGGGGGGCAGGCCTGGCACCTGCTCCCTGGCCACCTCCTGGCCACAGGGACGTGGGCCTGGCAGCCCAGCCTCAGGCCCTCAGAGACGCCTCAACCTTGCCCTGGCCTTGAGTACTGGGGTCACGTGGGAGCTGCAGTCTACTCCCCAGATATCAGCTGCAATCTACTCCAAGCTGAGAGGCGAGGCCATGGCTCGGATCTGGTCAACTTGTGACCCTAAGTTCTGTCAAGTGAAAGGCAAGGAGAAGAGAATATAATGCTGGGACTGGGGAGATAGCTCGGCGGTTAAACACCTGCCTGGAAAGTGCAAGGTCGCGAGTTCAATCCCTAGTACTGCACGCCAGGCTGGCGCCAGAACCCTGGGCGTGCTGTGCTGGCCCCAAAACTGGGCATGGTGGTGCACATCTGTAATCCCAGAGCTGGGGAAGCTGAGGCAGGAGGATCACTAT